GACAATTTTACAAATAAAACAATATTGACCCACCATTATTAAGTTATTAGAAAATAATTGATGACTCACTTAGTATATTTTATAATTTCTCATTTGTTAATAACATCAAGTAAGCAATGCCACATAATACACTAGAACTACCATAATTTTTTAAGTTTTCTCCACTACTATTTGTGTCCCTGATCATACAACTCTTAACTTGGTATCTCTAAACACATCTTCAATTGATACTACTCTTACCATTTAATGAATATATTTATTTTTAAATTTATCTTTTCTTATCTCACCAAACATTAAATATCTTTATCGTTATTTGAATTACACTCATTTTATAAACATATCCTCACTTAATAACACAATATTTTGTCTCTTTAAAATGGCCAACCTTATAGATTTATCAAAAATATTCTTTTAATTTTATTAATATTCATCCATCATCACGTATTATGTGACCCAACAACAATATGCGCACACTCACAAACCGAGAGGTTATTTAATAGTTTTAGAGCAATACTCCACGTTATTTATCACTTGACAATTGTCACATTGTCTATCAAAGACCAAATAAAAATACAAAGTCCCACTGTTTTAACTAATAAATAGAAGTTATGACATCATGTGAACTTATTTCAAAATTACCAAATAATTTTCCCTTGCAACTAGGGATGTAAGAAAAATCGAAAGGATCGAGCCGACCAATCGAAATCAACTGAAATTTTAATTTTCAGTTTGTTTTTCATAATATACGGTGTGTTTCGATTTTGAAATTTTTTATACTAATACAAACCGAACCGACCGAATATTATATTTAAATACTTTTATATTATAATTTCTGGAACATTATATAATAAGTAACTAACATAATACACTTTTGCAATAAAAACTATGGAGAAACATTTATTGAGCAATTTTCATGCATGTTATTCATTTATTTTCAATATAAAATTCTCTAATCTACCATAAACCCTTTAAAACCTCAAGCAAATTTCTTTTCTACATTAAACAGGCAAAACCAATAAAATAGAACAGTAACATACGGTCTATATCAGTTTCTCAACCATCAAAATCGAACAGAAATATTTTTTCAGAAAATGTTTTTTTATTACAAACACACCCCTTGAGATTTGATTAAAATACGAATCACCCTTTGTAGTTCTAAAAATTACATTCCACCCCGTAAGGTTTCAAATTTCATAACAAATCATCATTTTTATTAATAAATCATGAAATCAATTAACACTTTTTAATGATATTAGAAATATGTTTCAATTAATAATTTAAGTAATTTTATTATTATATAGGAGAACAATTATGAATTTTATTTTTTTAGTTAATTCTGTTAAATAAATTTTTTGATAAGGGGGTATTTATAATTTTTCAAATTACAAGGGCAATCTGTATTTTAAGCAAACCTTGAAGGTTGTATTTGTAATTTACCCTATTGAATTTTATTAATTTAAATCTTTTGAATATTAAAATAAAAACTATATATTTAAAATAAAAATAAAAAAATTTAAATATTAAAAAAAGAATTAAATTATTTAAAAAAAATATAGCTCACAAATGTAGTAAATGCAACACACATTAAAATAAATAAATAAATATTTATAATAAAAAATATTTACCCAAAAAAATAAAATTAAGAAACTTTTTAAATAGTTAAAAAAATATAAACCCAAAATAACTTCAAAATATAATTCAAAACTCAAAATCCTTTTTAAAACTCATAACTAAACAAATTTTCTCTTTTCAAAACTCAAATAAAAAACTTATCTTTTAAAATATAATTCCACACTCAAATCATAATTATAAAATTAAACCAAACGGAACCTTAAACATGTTAAACTGTCTTGCATATAGAGATGAAAATATCTATACACTATATAAGGACTGGTGTGTGCCCGTGCCTAAAGGCACGGTATTTATAAAATACAGTTGTAATTTATATGTATCATGCTAAAATTTATGAAGTCTGTAACATTTTTTGATAAAAATATTAAAAAAATATAAAGAAAAATTATTTTTGTTATGGGTTAAAATGTAATTATATTAAAAAAATATAAAGAAAAATTATTTTTGTTATGGGTTAAAATGTAATTTCTCTAATTTGTTATAAAAAAAATAGAAAAATAAAATTGATGTCAAAATATAAATAGATGGTGCACTTGGTTTGGATTTTCAAATGAATTTTATAATTAGAGTTTGGTTGTATGCCCTTGCTTAAAGGCACGGTGTAAATACTGTTGAGATCAAAATATAATTGTAATTTATATGTATTCTGTTAAAATTTATGGAGTTTGTAATATTTTTTGATAAAAATATTAAAAAAATATAAAGAAATATTATTTTTATTATGGGTAAAAATGTAATTTATTTAATTTCTTATAATAAATTAAAATAAAATAAAATTGAGGTCAAAATATAAATAGATTGTCTTCTTGGTTTGAATTTTCAAATGAATTTTATAATTAGAGTTTAGTTGTATATTTTAAAAATAATTTTATAAATTTGAAATTTCAAACTTATTTAGTTTAACACCCCATTAGTTTAATTAAGCATAAACATAACACCCCATTAGTTAAACATAACACCCCATTTAGTGGGTTATAAACATAACACCCAATTAGTTCAATTCAAAGCAGATCACTTCATTTAGTAATTTGCTTAATTAAGCTTAACACCCCATTAGTTTAATTAAACATAAATATACAGTGGTGTTACATGCACCAATTAGTGTACTAACTAGTATTATGATATTATTATTGACCATATTTATTACACAAGTTACAAATACCTAAAACTATACCAATGATGTCATATCATCTATTTATACATTAGTATGTATATTAATTAATACATATAGCATTACTCCATAAACATAACACCCCATTTTGTCGGTATAAACATAACGCCCCATTTGTTTAATTAAACTTTTTTTAAAAAAAAATTAGTGATTTGTTTTTTATTAGTCCAAGAAAGATAATTAATTAAGCCTTAATAATATTCTAAACAACTCATCAACAGCATATGAAGTAATCCCTCCCACACCACGCGCATCTTCTTCATCAACCCCACCTTTCATTTGTTAATGAGTTAATTATTTAAAAGTCCTATTTACGAATGTTATGGTATCTTAGATTCTATTTAAGAGTTTTTGAACTAATAAGTCCTGTTTAGTAAAACTGATAATATTATCAATCTTTTTTTCAATTTTTAAAATTAAAAATATTATTAATTTTACATAGTAATGTTTCATATAATTGTTTTACTAACTGATGAAAAAAACAGAACATGAGATTAAAGGTTTTTGCCTTTCTATTTATTGGTTTCATTCAACTATCCAATAAAACTGAGAAAATTATCAGTATTTTCATTTTTAAAGTTCTTTTTTTTTTCACATTAATGTTCCAACATCATGTTCTTTTATAGACACAAAATTTTTAGTTTTGCATCCAAAAAAAAAATAAATAAAATCATTTTTTCAATTTTTTTTTTTCAAAAAAACACATTTTCTTTTTGCACATAATTTTTTTTTTTGGTAGTTTTTTCAATTTTAAAGTTGATATTTTAAAGTTTTGAAAACCAAAATAAATATCAAATCATCATGTTTCTTTATAAATAATCATAAATAATAAACAATCATTATTTTGAATGGCAATTCCGACTATTAAAAATTTAATGGGACTTGAAGGTCAAAAAAAATTTATAAGTTCATAAATTAAAACTTATATATAAATGTTCTTATAATTAACCCCCCTTTTTTTTTCCATACTCAATTCCTTTAAATATTTACCTGTAGAGAATAGTAATTAAAAATAAATAAAAAATTATATGAACCGAGATAATATGTAATTTGTGTATAAGTAGAAAGTCTTGATCTATGGAAGAAAAATTGAAGCTGTTAGCAGTAATGGTTAAGTTCCAAAAGAGATGGTAGGGATCTCTTAAAAAAAAAAAAAAGAATCTCAAACATTGTTGTTAATAAATATTATTCTTAATTATTCCTCATCCTGACTTCCGTCCAGCTTACGTCCAATGAACTTCTTTCATAATCCTGACTTCCGTCCAGCTTACGTCCAATGAACTTCTTTCATAATCCTGACTTCCGTCCAGCTTACGTCCAATGAACTTCTTTCATAATCCTGACTTCCGTCCAGCTTACGTCCAATGAACTTCTTTCATAATCCTGACTTCCGTCCAGCTTACGTCCAATGAACTTCTTTCATAATCCTGACTTCCGTCTAGCTTACGTCCAATGAACTTCTTTCATAATGACATGAAATTGTAGCAATTTTCAAGTTGTGATTTTGTTGTTGTCACTTGGTCTTATTGTATTGAGAAAGATAGAGATAGATAGTATCATCTTGCTGATGATGCTCCCCCGTTTACCAGGTTTTAAATGCTAACTTTTCTGTAAAGTTATCAACTTCGTTTGGTTTTAGATTTTTGGTTTATATAAAAAAATAAAATTAAATACATAAGTTAATAAAATAAAATATTACATTTAAAATATAATTTATTTTTATAAAATGATCAAATATAAAAGAGGGTAAAGTGTAATTTATTTTTACAAAAATAATACTCACACGGTGACATGAAGGTTGGAATCATTATCTTTCAAATGGAGACAAAACAAAAACAAATGATTTCCCCTAATGTGTTCAATCTTCAATGTCTATCATATGTGCTCTAATATTCATTTGAGAGAGGCAAAGAGCATATCTCCTTGAAAACTTGGTCACTCCTCTCATCTTATTTCTTCTCTTTTTTTTTCTTCTTTTTTTTTTTTGGGGGGGGGGGGGGGGTTTTCAAAAAATTTTTTTTTTTTTTTTTTTTTTTTTTTTTTTTTTTTTGGGATGGAAGAGGTATGCGAGGGGAAGGGGCTAACCAACATATGGGTTTGGTTATGCGAGGGAGAGAGGCTATCTCAAAAATTTTATTTTATTTTATTTTCTTATTATTTTTTTTTTTGGATGGAAGAGTTATGCGAGGGGAAGGGGCTAACCAACAATTGTCTTCCCATTACCAACATTATATTTAATCAGGGGAGCAATAATACTCCTCAAATCAAGAAGCTTTCTCCAGACCCAGGAAGGGTCACTAGGAACTTTGAGGCACCAAAAACTTATACCCTTTAACAAATAAGACTTAGCCCATTGACACCACATGGATTGCTCACCCCCTGACAGCAAAAACCAAACATGCTTGGCAATAGCAGCTTTATTCCACACCTCAATAGATTTAAACCCTAGACCACCCTCATTCTGAGGGACGCAAAGGTGCACCCAAACAACTTTTGCTCCGATCTTTTTCAAATCAGGACCATTCCAAAAGAAAGCCCTCAGACAAGATTCAATCTCTGTTACCACTTTCTTAGGGAGAATGAATAACGAAGCCCAATAAACCTGCATAGAGAACAAGATAGATTTAATCAATTGGGCTCTCCTTGCATAAGACAACACTTTATTGGTCCACAATTGAATCCTCTTGGTAATCCTAGCCACCAATTGATCACAATCTATTTTACGCAGCTTAGTTGAGAGATTTAAATCAAGAGATTTAACTTGACCTAATACTATTTTCAATGTTTTTTTATTTCTATTAGTATACATGTGAAGCCGTCATATTTAATTATTCCTAGACAAATGCAAACAACAATAAGGAAAAATGTTGGAACTCCTTTTTTGGAGAATTTCTATCATCCCAATACATTGTGATTGGCTAATTTATTTATTTATTTATTTATTTCCTCCTGTCTTTGGCTGACATGTGCTTGTGGAGGGTTGTGGGGGTAAAAAAAAAGGAGGTCTGTATCATTTCTGTAACAATAAATATGACAAATAAAATGGTAATTAAATTTCAATAATAGAATTTTCTAATTGAGAATGACACATTAATAGAGACATCCATATAATTTTTTTATTACTTAAACCTTTCTTTATAAGAACAGAGCTGCTATAGGGCCCGAAATTCTCAAACTCGAATTTGCCTCGAATCCAAAACGACGTCGTTTTGTTTTGGGTTTTTTTTTTCTTTTTTTCTTTCTCACTGTTTTGAAGAAAAAGAACAAGCAGAAGAAGAAGAAAGGGAAGAGGAAAAAAAAAAAAAAATCAAAACGACGTCGTTTTGATCTTCTTCTTCTTCTTCTTTTTTTTGCTTCCTTCAATGCAAGCTGAAACTCCTTCTTCTTTTGTCTTTTTCTTTGGCAGGCCGAAGCTCTTTCTCACGTTGAACTCAATTTCCTTCCCCATCTTCTCCATCCTTTCTGTCACTCTGCTTGCCGTCGCAAACGTCATCTCCTCCTCCATCTTCCTCTCCTCGAACAATGGCGACAAATCGAACCCCTCCGATAATGAAATTTTATGAAACACAGTGGCACAATCCTAGTAGGACTTGTACTTCTCCATGCAGAGTCCTCCTAGGATTCATTCTCCTAAGGATAATGCCTATCCTTTTACACCCTCCCCCACTGCTTAAACCAAGTGGGATGGTTTTCTCCATGGCCGAATTACTATTTGACCGAAGTAACATTAGCTATGCCGAGCCACAAAGTGGGCCGTACTAACAGTAGTTTGGTTCTTCTTCATGCTACACCATATCTCGGTTCTCTCATACACGAACCGTGGTATGCTTGGACCGATCTACTGAGTAGCTACATTCCGACCGACCTACCATGAATTCATCATGACCGGACTACCGAAGCAGCTTTACGATTCCTTAGCCGAAGTAACTTCATCTCTTTTGACCGTAGTAAGTCAACATCTCCTCAGAACCGGAATAAATCTATCGTTCTTGAACCGGAGTAACTTTAACAGCTTGGGCCGGAGTATCTTTTATCTCTCCTGGGCCGGAATAACCTTGCGGCCTTTTTACCAAGTCCTTGGTGCTTTGGGCCACGAAGCCCACCACATAGCTCGGCCCAATTTTTACCAAAAATTACCCTCTCAGTGAACATACATATATAATAATGAATATATTATCTCACATCTGTACATTATGAAGTATTTTGAGAAAATAGTTAAAAATTAATTTTTTGACTTTTTAATTTTTTTTTATTGTTTTATGTGAAATATGATATGATCTAAAATAAATTAAGTAAGTGTTTGACATGCAATAAAAAAATACATTTTTTTTTGCGAGTCCGGATCCTCGATTGCCATTTCCTACAGTAGTCCCTGTGGCTCTCGCCAAACGACGTCATTTTTAATTTAATTTTTTTTTCAATCTTTGAGTTTCCCATTTTTTTTCCTTTCATCTTTCTCTATCATCTCATCTATCTGTTTAGCCCTAACATAACAAATACAAGAGAGAGACACACACAGAGAGAGACGGACGGATGACGACGGAGCAACACGATGGAGAGAACACAAACTGAGAGAGATGGTGGAGGGACGCGACGGCAAAGGATAAAGGATGGTGGAGGGACACGACGCGACTCGACGGCAAGGCGAGATTGCGGCCATGACGAAGTCCATTTCATCATTTCAGATTTTTCTTGTTGTTATATACATATATACGTATATATGAAAAATCATATATATTTCAAATTATATATATATATATATATCATATATATGCATATATGTATGTATGTATGTACGTACATATATATTTCAAATTTCATATATTTCATATATATACGTCTATATATTTCAGATTTCATATATATTTCATATATACGTCTATATGATTGTTGTTATATACAATCCAGACTATCTGCCGCCATTTGTGTGATATTTTTGTGAAAACTGTATTGTGAAATTGATACTGTATTTTCTAAAATGTCTGTTTTGGGACTCATATTTTTGAACTTCCCCTATGAGGATAGTTAAAGCATCCCAGTGCATTTCAATTAATGTAACAGAAATTTTTTCATGTAAAATGAAATTGAACAAAAAAAATGGTCCTATTTTCCAAATAAAAGATATTCTATAACATTACTCTAAGAAGCCTATATAAAAAATTTATAGCTTTCCAGACTAACAATGTCCCAAGCCTACTTACTTCAATTACATTATTCAATTTTTGTTTTTTTTTTTTTTTAATTATTTGTATGCTAATGAATTGCAGGTAATGGAAGAAAATAATGTTGTTGATGAGTTGGCCAATTGTGATTGGAAGCCGAAATTGGGCATATCATTTGACTCTGAACAAACTACGTATGACCTTTACAATACCTATGGCAGAAAGGTCGGCTAGTATTAGGATGGCGTATGCACACAAGAACAAACATACTAAGGAAATAACTTCATGGACTTTTGTATGTTACAAAGAGAGAAGTTGGGGTATTGACAAGCGAGATCCACTAGTAAAATTTCCGAGACAAGAGGTAAGATATGGTTGTGGTGCCCAATTTAGTATCAAGTTAAATAGAAATTTAGGAAAATATATTGTTTATGATTTTTTTGAGCACCATAATCATGACCTTGTGCCTCAAAAGTGCATTCATATGTTGCCATCCCAAAGAAAAATATCTACCACCCAAGCAATTGAAGTAGAATTGGCTTCAGAATCTGAAATTCCTCTTAGGTCTGCTTATGAGCTATTTGGTAGGGAATCTGGTGGAAAAGCATCACTTGTCTTCACGAAATTGGACCAAAAAAATTACTTAAGATCGAAGAGACAAAAATATTTGAAATATGGATAAGCGGGTAATGTGTTGCAGTACTTTCGCAAGAAAACTGTGGAAAATCCATCCTTTTATCATGTAGTCCAATTAGATTGTGAAGAGCAGAAAAGTAACATATTTTGGGCTAATGCTCAAATGATAATGGACTATGCTCAATTTGGTGATATAGTGACTTTTGACACTACTTACAAATTAAATAACGAGCATAGACCTTTTGGAACATTTGTTTGATTTAATCATCATCGATAAACAGTTATATTCGGTACAGCGTTGATGTATGATGAGATTGCCGAATCATTTGCATGGTTGTTTCATATTTTTCTAGAGGCAATGTCAAACAAAGCTCCAAAAACTATTTTCACAGATCAAGATGCTGCGATGGCTAAGGTCATTCCAATTGTCATGCTTGATATAAACCACCGACTTTGCACATGGCATTTGATGCAAAATACTGTCAATCATGTAAGTTTTCTTTTCGAAGATGTAGGGGTGAAGGGTGTGTTTTCAAAATTTATGCATGACATTGATGACAAAGAAGAATTCAAAATACAATGGGACCAAATCCTTGATAAGTATGATGGACGCAACAATCATTGGTTGGAGCAGACTTTTGGTGTGAATGAGAAATGGGGATGGCCATATATTTATGAATTTTTGGGTAGCTGGAATGAGTACTACTCAACTTAGTGAATCCTTCAATGCATTTTTGAAGGATTATCTCAATTGTGATAATAACTTGATGGATTTTTTTCAAGCATTTTGAGAGGGTGCTCTATAAAAGAGGTATAAAGAATTGGAAGCCGAGTATAATTTGTCCCAAAAATTGCCGAGAGTTTCAATTCCAACTTTGATGTTAAAGCAAGTGGCAGAGATTTACACCAAAACAATTTTTGAGGAATTCCAAAATGAGTACGTGCAGTCCATTGAAGCATCCATTGTAGGCACTATTAATGATGGTGAGAGTACCATAATCACAATTAGAACAGTGGTAGATAGAAAAATATATATATATATAAGAATATGAGAATGGATAGAGGTGGTTCTTTGAGTTGTAGTTGCAAGAAGTTTGAAGTGAAGGGCATATTGTGTCGATATTGTCTGAAGGTGCTTAGAGATATATTCAATGCAACAGACCTTCCTGCACAATATATACTGAAACGATGGACTAAAAAAGCAAGGGTTGAAAGTGTGAAAGATAGACGTAGATATGATACCAAGGCTAAACTACATCAAAGAGACCGATATAGGTCATTGATGACTATGTTTAGAGCAATAGCAAGTAGAGTCGCTGAAAGTGAAGAAACTTATAATTTGTCAATTTCAAAAGGTGAGTAATTGAGTGTAATGGTTGAAGACAAATTAAGTGTGCACATTTGTGGTCAAGTGGAGGTCACTAAATTGAGAAATTCCTCAACTAACACATGCCCACAGAGTGATGAAGTAGATTACTCAATCCAAGCTAAAGGACTCAAGAAAAAACAAGCAACTAGTAAGGGAAGAATGAGGATCAGAGGAGGAATGGAAAAATCTATTGCAAAGAAGAAAATGATGGAATCTAAGCAGGTAATTACATGAAAAATTGCATATTATTAAATGATATTTTTTATATGAAAAATTGTAAATGAATTATGTGTCATGGTTATGTGTTATGTGATATGTGTTATCAATTTTGTGTTATGTGTGTTGGAAAAATAATGAATTGAAGAAATTGGTCATATGTAGGGTGCTCCTTTTTGTACTCCCGAAGGTCAATCTAAGCCTCCTATCGCCAAGGGTAATAATTCTATTCATGTAATATTTAATCTTCTGTGCAACTTTGTATTAATCTTGTTGGATTGCTTCTTCTTACAATCTAGTCCAGTGATATTTTTTATTTTCTCTGCATCGGTTGCATGTAGGGTGGTTCTTTTTATGCTTCCCAAGGTCAATCTCAACCCTTTTCCGCCATGGGTAATCATTCTATTCAGGTAATATTTAATATTGTGTGCAACCTTTGACATGGATAGACCTTAGGGAAATTGAACCTCATACGAAACCATTGTTTTACTTTATTAATCTTGTTGGATATCTAAGATTCCCACATATCTTGAATTGGTTCTTCTTGCAATATAGTCCGATGAATTTTTTTATTTTTTCTGCATTGGTTGTATATAGGGTGTTGCTGTTTATACTCCCTAAGGTCAATCTCAACCTCCTTTGGCCATGGGTAGTAATTATGTTCAGGTAATATTTAATATTGTGCATTTTTTTAAAATGAAAATGCATTGTATTTTTTTTTTCTTTTTCATTTCATATATGATTTTGTTTATGTTGGTTGAATTGAAGGTCATGCTTATGGTGTCTATATTTCTCAATCTCGACCTCAATCTGAAACTCAACCTTCCTTTGCCATGGGTCGTACAAGTGCTCATCCTATTATGTATCCTACATATGATGTGAGTTATAATTGCTTACATACTTTACATTGAAAGGGTAGTATACATCTTATCAACATGTTAATAAATTTAGCAGTATTGCAAGGGAAATAACACGCCTCAGTCAATGCCTTTACTGTATCCCACTCAGACATCATTTCAGGAGTTGCTTCAAGGTACTAGTGTTCAACACTTTGCAGTCCAAGTGTTGCAATCCTCACATAGTCCTGCTGACAGTCATGTAGATGGACATCCCTGAAAGGCT